TTCAGCCCACCAAAAAGGGCAACTTCGTGTGGCTTGACGCCAAGACCAACCAGCCGTTGAAAAGCGTGACCAAGTGGGTGTGCGCTGACACAGGTGCATGCGGGATCCCGCAAAGACGCCTGCCTCCCAATATGTTCTTCACCCCTTGCTAAAGGTGGCGGCGGCGGCGGCGGCGGCGGCGGGTGATGGGTAATGGTCGTGGTGGCCCGCAGGAACGTTGCTGATGGACTCACAAATCAAGTACGCCTTCCCTTTCGGTGGCGCCAAAGTGGTGTTCGACAAAGAGGAGGCCCTCCAAGTCAAGTCTTTCGACAAGAAGGCGTTGCGACTGGTGGGGTTCAAGCCGCGTTCGGCGGTCAAGCCGCATTTGAACCTGTCCCACTCGAGTTTCATCTACCCCGACGAACAGGTTCGCATATAGGGGGCCTGTCCCCCCCACCTCAATGGACCGGCGGAGACATCCCACTTCTCACAACCCCCCCCCCGGAACGCAACCCTTGCGCTTGTCAGCAAGTGCAAGGCAGCACGGTGGCCTTTGCAGCGCTGCTGGACAGGCTGTTGGCCTCCGATAAGGTGGGCATCTGTCTGTGGACCCGGCGCACCAACACGCCCCCTCGGTTTGTCGCCCTCGTGCCGCAGGTGACTCTCCACCCCCGCCACCCCTTCCTCAATAACCCCCCACCCCTCCCAAGTTGCTCCTCCTGTCGTGTGCGTGCTTGCGCCAACAAGTCGAGGCTGGCTGACGAGGCCATACATACATACATACACACACACACACCTCTTACATACATGAAAATATGTATAGGAAGAAGAAGTAGACGACGACGGGCTGCAGGTCAATCCCCCTGGCTTCCACCTGGTCCCGCTGCCCTTCTCCGACGACATCAGGGAGATCCATACCGAGCCGCAGCCACCGGGTACCCCGCCCTCCACTTGGCGACCGACCGACCACCCACTGCTGCGCTGCAGCGGGCTGGGCTGCCTTGCGGAACTGCTGTGCGCATGGGGACTCAAGTGCGCGCGGTGTCGCTTCTTGCTCGTGTGGCATGCCACGCACCGCAGTGTCGCCCGAGCAAGTGATCAAGGCCAAGAAGCTCGTCAAGGCCCTTCGCATCAACTTTGATAGCCGAAGCTTTGAAAACCCCTGTACGCTTCCCCCTACATGACACGCGGCTCACCTCACCTCCTTGCAACGGCGGTCGCCCTTGTCGCCGGCCATGGTGGTGATACTGCCGCAACGCAACGCAACGCAACGCAACGCAACGCAACGCAACGCAACCCAACCCAACCCAACCCAACCCAACCCAACCCAACCCAACCCAACCCAACCCAACCCAACCCAACCCAACCCAACCCAACCCAACCCAACCGGCGTGGTGGTGGTGGTGGTGGCCGTGGTGGTCGTCGTGCAAACAGCACTGCAGAGGCACTACGCCAACCTGCAGGCGCTGGCGCTTGACCGGGACACGGTGGAGGAAACTCCCGACTACCTGCTTCCCGATACCGAGGGAATGGAAAACGTATGCCCCATTGCCCTTACCCCGCTTGGCCCGCGGTGCTGGAGGCTGGTGGCTCCTCCTGCGTGTGCGCCCGAGTGTGTCGCCTGTGTCGTGGGGGCAGACGCACGTGTTTCGGAGGGGGGGGACAACAACAACAACCAACAACAACCAACAACAACACGGCCATTGCCGTAATACCTGTTGTACTGCTACTAAATACCTCACTCTCCTCCCTGCCGCCTCTCCAGTTCGCTGCGTTGATCAACGATTTCAAGGACGCCGTCTTCCCCTCGGACTACGAGGAGCTGAGGGCAACCAAGGGAAAGAAGAGCAGCGGCAGCAAACGCAAGAGGGAACCCTCGGACGACAACGAGGACACTGCTGCGGAGGGCGACAGCGAGCGGCCAGCGAAGAAGTCCTCTGTTCTCGTCGACGCTGCGTACGTCGAGGAGCTCCGCCAAGCAGACAGCGTACGTTGGACGCCCGTCTCCTTCCTAGTCCTCCTCCGACGCCGGCCTTGGCCTCGCCAATCACCCCTCCTCCTCTTCCTCCTCCTCCTCCTCCTGGGTGTCGAGGAGGAGGAGGAGGAGGAGAAACATTGCGCTCACCATGGCGTGCGTGCGTGCGGTGTGGGTGTTTGGGGGAGCGCAGTTGAGCAAGCTCACGGTGCCGCAGCTCAAGTCCTTCCTCCAGCAGTGTGGCCTTGCCGTATCGGCCAAATTACGGAAGCCTCAGCTGCTGGAGCTCCTCCAGGACCACTGCCTGGCAGCCCAGCACCAGCAGGCAGCCAACAAGGACGAACCAACAGCCGAATGAGTGCAATAAAGGGTACTGCTGGTGGAGTGGAAGCAACACGCGTGTGACCCAGAAGTAAAAAAAAGGAAAGGCTTTCCTTTCGTACTTTTCGTACCTTCCCGAAAAAGAAAGAAGAAACCCCCCCAGAGATGCTGCTCCAAACCAGCCTCACCACACCACCGAAGGCCATGAGCATCGCCGTCGCCGTGGTGGTGCGGCCAAAGCCTCTGCCAGCCGTAGCGTCGGTCAGTGGATGGGGGTGGGTCTCCCTCGCGTGGCTGCCGCCGCTGCTGCTGCTGCTCTCCGTGGGCGCTACAGGAGCGGCCGTGGCTGAAGGAGGGGCGCCCGTTGCTCCCGTGGTGCTGATCCCTGGAGTGGCCGGAAGCGTGCTCTACTACTCCGACGTCATCTCACGCCTGCCGCTGGGTGTGGCATGGCTGCGTTTCTTCGATGGTTCGTTCCCGGTGGTTGTTGGTGGTGGGTCGTTGTGTGTGTGTCCCCATTCAGCCATTCTTCGCTGTCGCCATGGGCCTCGTGTGCGTGCACAGACGATTACGTGGTGCGCAAGTACATGCTGGTGCGCTACAACGAGACCACCATGCTCACGGAAACTCTCAACCCTTCCGTGTTTCTCGACGTGGCGACCGGAGACCACGGCCTCGACGGCATCTCCCTCCTCGACCCCGATGGTGCGCGCAAGCTTTGGGTGTCGTGTGCGTTGTGTTGGCCGGCCACTAACCCACCACCACACGATGCGGCGGCGCGGGACCCCCACCCACCCACCCACCCACGTGGTGCAGACTGGCTTGGAGTCACTTCGGTAAGAGAAGAACAAAGAGGAGCATCCCCCCCCCCAAATTGTGTGTGCATCGCTCGTGCGGTAATTTGATTGAGCCGGGTGGTGCGTGGCGGGTGGCGCCAACAGTACTTCGGGGCGATGATCCAGGCCTTGCAAGGGCGAGGGCACGTGCCTGGTCGCACTTTGTTTGGGATGCCCTACAACTGGTGCGACCACAACATCTTCCACGCCGATGCGTTGGCGCGGCTGGTGGAGCGGGCCTTCAATGCGTCTGGCGGACAGAAAGTGCACCTCGTGGCCCACTCGATGGGCAACCTCCCCACCAAACTCTACCTTGCCCTCCGCCCTCAGCACGCCTCCCGCTACGTGGCCTCGTGGACCGCTCTCGCTGCTCCTTTTCTCGGCGCCGGCGCCGTTGGGTACAGCCCACCACTACGGGACCTGACCACAACCGGACTTGCTACTTCCCTCCCCCCTCCCCCCTTCTAAATTGTGGTGGGGGAGGACCTGTGCGTGGCAGGCTGGAGACTGTGTTACAGGGGCGCCCGCAGTTGCCGGTGTTCTTTCTGTCCAAGGAGCTCGACCACGCCCTCCAGGTGGTTGCCCCGGCCAGCTACGAGCTCCTGCCGGCCGACGACCAGCGCTGGGGCGATGCCAAAGCCCCTTCCGTGGCCTATCAGAACGCGACCTCGGGCGTGTGGATTAACGTGACCATGAGCGCGGGCTTTCCGGCCCTGGCCGCCGCAAGCCTCGCCCACAACTCGATCGTCGATCCCAACACGGGCCGCCCGGTGCCGTTGCCCTTCGGGTGGACCCAACTGTCCGTCGCGGAGGACACCGTGCGGCGCCTCGTTCAGGCGCCTCTCGCCCACGCCTTCGCGTTCCCCTACCACGGCGTGGTCGGCACGGGCACCCCCACGCCGCTCCACATGGTCTTTGCCGACCCCGTCGCCGACCTCGCCCAGCTCAGCAAGGAGGCCTCCCGCTACTCCTTCCTCCCCACCGACGGCGACGGCGTCGTGCCCCTCCACGTTCGCACACCCCCCACCCCACCCACCGCGCCCACCTCTTGCCTGGCTCATCTTCCTGCTGGGACCCTTTTCTGCCACGCGAAAAACACTTGTTGCACACATGACACACACGACGTGCGTGTGTCGTGTGTCGTGCAGAGCTCGCAGGCGGACGGGTTCTCCACCGGCGGAGGAGGCACTCGCACGGTGTACGAGGTCCCCACCGTCGGCCACTTCGAGCTGGCCACCGACCAGCGCGTGGTCGACCTCGTCACGTGCCTCCTCGACCACCACGACCATGACCACGACCCCGCGCACGAGGGATCCCCCTGTGTCTTTGCCGCAAAACTTAACTTAATGTAAGTACCGCGGCGCCGCCGCCGCCGACCTCGCGTGCAAGTCTGCTGCTGGGGGGATAGGAAGAACGCCTGCGAAGAGGCCGGCAGCAGCTTTAGTCCAGCGCCGCGATCATGGACAGGCTCTTGACGAGCTCCACGGCTTTTTCGGCGATCACAGGCTCGCGCGAGTTGTAGAGCTCCTTCAGGGCGCCGAGCGCGCCACTGCCGCGGATCTTGGCCTGCACTTGGTCTGATCGCGCGCGCACACACGCCACACACACACACACACACACACACACAGAGAGAGAGAGAGAGGAGGAGAGAGAGAGG